TGAAATATGCTATGCCTCGTGGATAAGTCGAGGGTAAAACTTGGGGCTATGAAATTCTGTGATTTTTATAATTACATACACACACTCATACACACCCGCACTTATACAAAAACACACTCTGCATTACACACACACACACACTCATACACACACTCTGCATTACACACAGACACACTCATACACACTGCAATATACACACACACACTCATACACACACTCTACATTATACACACACACACTCATACAAACAATCTGCATTATACACACACACTCATTCAAAAACACACTGCATTATATACACACACACACTCATACAAACAATCTGCATTATACACAGACACACTCATACAAACACACACTCTGCATTATATAATGCAGAGTGTGTGTGTTTGTGTGAATGCAGAGTGTGTGTTTGTAGGAGTGTGTATATAATGCAGTGTGTGTGTGTATATACAATGCAGAGGGTGTGTTTGTATGAGTGTGTGTTTCTGTGCGAACTGGGTGGGGGAGGGCATTTTTATTTTTAATTTTTTTAATTTTAATATTTTAATTTTTTTATTTTAGTATTATTTTTTTATTTTATTATTTACTTTTTTTTAATTTTAATATTTTAATTTTTTTTATTATAATTTTTTTTTTATTATTTAATTTTTATTTTCATCCCCCCTCCCTGCTTGTTAGCTGGCCAGGGAGGGGAGCTCTCATTCCCCGGTGGTCCAGTGGATGGGCTGTGTAGGAGGGGGGCTGGCAGAGAGCTGTTAATTACCTTTCCTGCAGCTCCTGTCAGCTCCCTTCTCCTCTGGTCTGGTCAGCTCCACTGTAAATCTCACAAGAGCCGCGGGGTAAGAGTGTTGCCACAGGTTACCGTGGCAACGCTCTGCACAGCAGTCACACCGCGAGACTTACAGTGGAGGAGAAGGGAGCTGACAGGAGCTGCAGGAAGGTAAGTAACAGCTATCTGCCAGCCCCCAACAGGACCGCCGGGCTTGTAATGAGCCCGGCGGTCCTGGTCTGTATTATGGCAATGTAAGTTGCCTTAATACAGACACTGACTTGAGTATAAGTCGAGTGGGGGTTTTTCAGCACAAATAATGTGCTGAAAAACTAGACTTATACTTGAGTATATATGGTATATCAAAATACACTTAGAATGAAATTGTATATATATATCTATGTATATATAAATAAATAAATAAAAATAATACAAAATATACATATGTCTATATTCAAAATTACATAAATAATTATATAAATATACACGTAGACTTAAAATATATAGATATGCATATATATTTAAATTCTATGTGCGTATTTATGTAATATTTTTACATAATTAAGTAATTTTATTAATTGCAATTTGAGGGACCTGCCTGTCAACCAAGGCCGAAAGTCCAGAGAATTTAATTTGCTAGCACTGTATTTTACCCTGTAACTTTCTATGACACCCTTAAACCAGTACATGGGGGGTACCGTTTTACTCGGGAGACTTCGCCGAATACACATATTAGTGATTCAAAACAGTAAAACATATCACAGCGATGATATTGTCAGTGAAAGTGACTTTTTACGCATTTTTCACACACAAACAGCACTTTTACTGATGATATAATTGTTGTGATATGTTTTCCTGTTTTGAAAAACTATTTGTGTTCAGCAAAGTCTCCCGAGTATAACAGTACCCCCCATGTAAAGATTTTATAGCGTTTTTGAAAGTTACAGAGTCAAATATATGGGTCAAATATTTTTACAGTGAAAATGGCCAGGTTGGTTACGTTGCCTTTGAGTGCGTATGGTAGCCCAGGAATGAGAATTACCCCCATGATGGCATACCATTTGCAAAAGAAGACAACCCAAGGTATTGCAAATGGGGTATGTCCAGTCTTTTTTAGAAGCCACTTAGTCACAAACACTGGCCAAAATTAGCATTCAATTTAGTTTTTTACTTTTTTCACACACAAACAAATATGAATGCCAACTTTGGCCAGTGTTTGTGACTAAGTGGCTACTAAAAAAAACTGGACATACCCCATATTGAATACCCTGGGTTGTCTACTTTAAAAAAATGGGGGGTGTTATTCAGAGATTTATGACAGATAATAGTGTTACAATGTCACTATTGATAAATTTGAAAAAAATTATGTTTTGAAACCGCAATATCCTACTTGTACCTATAGACCTTTGCTAAATATTATAGTAATATTTTTTTATGTCTATTTTGTAAACCTGATGTTTACTTCTCCTATACAAAATCCCATATTGCTAAATCTTCTGAATATAACGGTACTGCCAACAAGCCTTTGTCACTATCCTGTGAAGTTGCAGTGCTGTATAAGAGACCTGACCATTTCAGTTTTTACAGTTAGAATTTTGAAAGATGAATTTGATTGGCCTAGGTCTCATTTTGGACATTATAACAGTTTGTTCAAAGGCTTACCATTTGTGAAAGTAGACACTCCAGGTGTGCCATATGGCGTATATTGTGCCTTAATGTGCTGCCAATTTTTAACCAGATTGTCAAAATTTTGTCGTCAATCCACCCTCCCCCAAATTAGGCTCAGTAAAGTCTCTTGAATAAAACAGTACACCCAATGTATGGCTTTGATACTTTCTTGCAATGTTACAGTCTATATAAGAGACCTGACTATTTCAGTTTTTACAATTAGAATTTTGATACATGGATTTTATGGGCATAGTCTGCATTTGTGCAGCATTGTAGCAGTTTTACAGTTCAAATTACCCCATAAATGCATACCATTTGTGAAAGTAGACAACTCAGGGTATGTAATATAGTATATATATATATATATTTATATATTTTTTTTTTTATTTATTTTTTTTACACAGTCATTTTAGCACCAATTTCTTTAAAAATCTTATTTTTGCAAGTGCACATTACCTTTAGCTGTACATTGTATAATCATGTTGTACGTTACAGTCCATAATGAATGCGGCGCGAGGCTCATCTTCCTGTCCGCCCGCACCTCCCATGCCTCACCTTTCTGTCAGTCCCTACATTGGCTTCCTATAAAATATAGAGCTCAATTTAAAATTCTGGTTTCATGCTTTCAAATCTCTACATAATGCTGCTCCCACCTATCTATCCTCCCTTATACACAAGTATGTCCCGTCTAGGCCCTTACAATCTGCTTCTGTCCGTACTCCCACCTCTGATGCTCGCCTTCAAGATTTCTCGAGGGCTGCACCGTTCCTGTGGAACTCGCTTCCCTCCTCCGTTAGATGCTTTCCCAGTCTCCACTCCTTCAAAAAATCGTTAAAAACCCACTTCTTCATAAAAGCGCATCAATTAAACCGTTAATAGCTCCTGTGACTGCGACCAGCCATAAAGCAGGAAAGTTCTTTCCTGTCAGATTCCGGTCTTCCCTCCAAAGGTCAATCGCATGCTTGCGCGGCCGGAAAAGAGCAGAATGGCTGGCTGTCTTCAGAGCAAGCCAGCCACTCCCCCTTCCCTCCTGCTCGCAGGGCCAGAGGAGCGTCTGGCCTGCTTGAACAGAGAAGAGTAGGACTGGAAATCATCTTAAGGTAGGAGAAGAGGGGTTTGGGGGACCTTCCTGTTAAGTGTGTTAAATTGGGGAGAGGTGCAGTGTATCAATTTGAGAGAGGTAGTGGGCAGTGTATTAGAGTGGTGGCAGTGTATTCAATTAGAGTGAAGGGATGGGGGCAGTTTACAGGATTTGCAGGCAATGTATTAGAATGGGGGTAGGGGGCAGTGTATTAGATTGGTTCCGAATGGAGATGCTAAACGCTCCCCATGAAGATGATGATTTTCCACGCAGCTTTTTGCCACACATGCATAATAGCATTCCAGAAATTTCCCATGGGTGTGTTCTTCACTTTGGCCAAGATCATTAGATTTGATGATTTCAGCCAAAATGAAGAACACACTCATAGGACTTCAAAATCAACAATAGAACGTAAAGTTTTTTTATAGCTGTGCAACAGCATACATTCACCATTTCAATCCCATTACCAAACTTTTCTTAATATGTCAAGGTAGTTGAACTGAAACAATGGTTATATGCAAATACACGTCTCCTTAAAATAAATTTGCTCTCTTGTTTACTTTGAAACCCTACGAGCACAAGTACGTCCAGTGTCAGGCAACTCTTTTTATACTGTACTTTTCTCAATAAACCTACATTTCAATGAAAATGGTTCATTTTTTGTGGCCCACATAAACTTAAACCTTCTTTGGCCCATGTTAGCCTTAGAGCTGGACATGCTTGCTTTAAACATTAACTATCTTAATCCTATCCCTAATCCAAACGCTAGGAATTGTGTTAGGATTCCCTCTGCGGATTACAGCAGAAGGATTCCCTTGCTGGTCTGAATGCTAATCCAAACTCAATACTTATTCTTATATTAAATCTAATCCCAAGAGTTTCCATCTGCCAATATCAATACGGATATTAGCAAAGATAATTCTAAGCCAAAACAAAGAGTGGCATGTTGCTGGTATCTACTAGCTATTTTCAGTATGAAAGGTACCTGTTAAACAGATAATAGTCCATCCATCACTGTGAAATGGTTTTGGGGCATGAAGGGAGACCATCCAGGGTCTCCCAAACATCGGCTGCACAGAGAATCACGGTGTCGGAGTCTGGTCGTTAGGCCAGAGCATTCTCACTGCTCAAATCAGTCTGGGGCAAGGGAAAATGGCCTCAGATGACAGAGGGGAGCCCCAGGTAATATTTGATTTAACCCTGCTCACACTGCATTGTAACAATGGTGATTTTAAATAAATGCCTGTTTGCAGCACTCACTGCACTCAACACTGCAAACAGAGGATTGATCAGTCTGGGGCCGCTAATTCTGGTTCCAGCCAACAGAGGGGAGCACCAGCTACCAAATGATACATGGGGTTCCAAATTACCAGTAGGGTTAATCAGTCATGACCGAATCCCGTTTTTTTTTTTTTTTACCCCCTCCCCCCCCTCCTGACTCCAGTATATCTGACCCCCTATTTTACCTATTTTTTATTCTTTATTTTCTGACCCGATCTATATTCAGGGCGCCGCCATCTTTGTATGTATAGAGGAAGTCCCTGTGGGACACATCATCTGCCCACACTAGATAGCCTGTGAGATTCCCGTACATGCGAACGGGAATTTCATCTATTCATTCATTCGTCAGAAAGACGAATGAATGAATAGCATTGTCAGACGAACAAACAAACACGGTGTATCAGTGTTCGTTTGTTCATTCAGTTTATTACAAGGAGGGAGCTACCGGCATTCAGCTCCCTCCTTGTAAAATGTAAAGATAGAAGCTGCAGGGAGAAGTGCCCCCCCTTACTCTATGGGGGTCATTATGACCCCCATAAGAGCATTAAAATCTCGCCAATGCCCCTACTCGCTATACCGTGGGTAGGGGCATGTCCACTAAACAGTGAGCAGCCTGTGACTGCTCACTGTAAAAAAAATGTTTAAAAATACTATCCGGCCCCCACCCCTGTGCAACGGGTGGGGGCCCGAAATAACAATAAGGGGGGGGGGAACTATTTTCTGCGCGGTGGGTGTGGGCCATAAATTACAATGGGTGGGCCTACTTCCCTCCCCCCCTTGAGTGGTGGGACCTACAGTCGTCCTCCCCCCCCCCCCCCCGAACCCTTGGGCGGTGGGTAGGGGGCCATAAAGATAAGAGGGGGGTCTACTGTCCCCCCCACCCTTGAGCGGTGGGTGGGTGCCCTAAGACAAATCCCCCCCCCTCAAAGGGGACTAAGGGTCCCCAAGGCCCTAGTCACCCACCCCTGACCCTACCTACCCCCCTCACCCTAAAAAATTGTGAAGGGGGAATAAAATAACTAATCTGAAAAGAAAAATTAAACTTACCATTTGACATCTTCTCTTTTCAGCCCCAAAAACAGACAAATAAAAAAACCATCATACCCATCGAACTTAAAATAAAATAAAAAACCCGAGCGCAAAAAAAATAATCCATCTAAACCCATGGAGGGCTTGCGCAGACTGAGCTCTGCGGGGAAGGCTTATAAAGCCTTGCCCCGCCCTGCACTAAGTCTAAGAACACTCTAATTGGTTGGTTTAAGCCAAAGTGCTTTGTGTCATTTTACACAGCGTGGGAGAGTTCTTTGGAATTTTCCTACGCTGTGTAAAATGACAGAGCACTGTGATCGGATGGATTTCAAGCCACCAAATCAGAATTCTCTGTGTCATTTTACACAGCGTGGGAAGGTTCTTTGGAATTTTCCCACGCTGTGTTAAATGACAAAGAGCACTCTGATTGGCCTCCCAAACCAGGCAATCAGTGTTCTTAGGCTAATTGCAGGGCAGGGCAAGGCTTTATAAGCCTTCCCCGCCCTCCAGAGCTCAGTCTGCGCGGAGCCCTCCATGGGTGAAAATTGATTTTTTGGGGGGGGGCTCTGGTTTTTTCTTTTTAGTCTGTTTTTTTTTTTTGCACTCAGGTTTTTTTATTTTAAGTTTGATGGGTATGATGGTTTATTTGGCCTTTTTCGGGGCTGAAAAATGAAGGGGTGTGGTCAGGGAGGGAGGACAGTAGGTCCCCCCCATTGTAACTTATGGCCCCCACCCACCGCGCAGGTGTGGGGGCCGGGGGGGTAGGTCTCCCCCACCCGTCGCACATTGGTGGGGGCAATAGGTTTGTTTTGTTTAACAGTGAGCAGCCAGAGGCTGCTCACTGCTTACTAGACATGCCCCTACTTGTAGTATAGCGAGTAGGGGTAGATCATTTACTAAAACTGAGTAATTTTTACTTAGTATTAGTAAATGTGGCTGAAATACCAATTTAGGTCTTTCAGCCTTTTAGTAGATAACTCCCCGATACCGTGGGAATTAGGGAGTTATCTACTAAGTGGCTGCAAGATGCAGCCCGGGCACAAATTGAATCAGAGTTTCATTCTAATGAAATTCCGATATGAACAAAGTGTCGAATTGAGTTCTAAAAGAAACCAACATACTGTTCTCATTCAATTAGAACGCAATTCGTCAGTTTCGTCTAAAATGACAGGAAGCATCGCGGGAACACTGAGGGAAAGGTAAGAATTATGGGAAAATTGCTCTGACCAGCGGAAATGAAGCACACTTTGCTCCTCCGCTGGTCAGAGCTGGTCAAGCGGAGGAATCCTTCATAAGGCAAAGAGTCCCTACTCTGTCTTATGATTTTAAAGAAAACTAAAGACAGGAAGAAAAGAAGAACAGATCCGGAGAGAGGGGGAGAAGAGGAAGAGATTGAGGAAAAGTAAGTTCGGCATGACAGTGCCGCTTTAATAGAAGGACAGCTATAACAAAATAATTCAGCCATTGGTCCTTTAAAGGGTTAATAAAAACTATTATATACAACATATCAAAATACACACACAATTCACACTACACATTTTTTTTTAATTTAAAAAAAAAAAAAGTGTATTTTTATATACAACAAGTAAAAAGTGTGCAAATTCCACATAAAAATACTAAAAGGTTTGAACATTTAATAATTAATTGAACAATGAAGGCATTTGTAGTTAGACAGTGTTTGAATGAAATCCCCAACATCTTTCAGCTAGATTGCTTTTAGATAAGTAGTTATGTATATTAAATAACTGCCATTTTTGTCTCGCCCTTAGAAGTAGCCTCACGGAAGGTCTCTGTGTGAAGTGGACTAAAAGATGACCCTAACAATCTGCACTGTGTAGGGTTTAAACTCACTGCATAGCTCTGGCAAAGTCTGCAAAATGTGTTACTAGACAGAAGACCCCTGCTTGAAAGTGTTTTTTTTGTCGTTGTGTTGTATGTTGTATGCAACAAACTGTAAGTCAAACCTTCTGAGGTAACCATTTATATATTAGAAAGGAAATGGTTGTGACAGGGATCCAAAATGTAAATTTACCCACTAGCAATTGTCCTCTAGGCTTAAAAGGGGAGAATAACTTTTAGGCCTGTACAGTAAAGTGTAGTAGGGTGTACAAGAATCCTCTAGGGTTTTGAGCCTTGGATGGGAGTATTTTGAAATTATTGGAACAGATGTATCTTTCATTACAAAGAGAAAAAAAGGACAGGAGTAAATACTAGCGTTTAAAACCTCATAACAGTAATAATGGGAGCAGCCCATAAAGAATGGAGAATGATCTAATAACTCCCTCCCTTAATATTCCTTCTTGGAGAGAACACTAGAGTAAGTGAATGGAGAACTAGTTAAAGCTCAGTGTTGGTGAAGCAACGAGAAGCCTCTGGGGCATTACCAGTCAACACCTGAGTGTATTTAAGGCACATACAGATTAATTAGAAATGGGGATAAGAAAGTCCAGTGCAAATATCACATTACATAAACATTTACATCAATAACCACAGTCACTCTACAAGGCACAGGGTTTCAGAGATGAAAAGCCAGCTGGAGAGGGACAAATATCCCGTCAGAACTGCAAGGCTGGAGTCATTTCAAGTTATGGATTCCTTTTTCTTTCTGAAGGGAGACTTTAAGCGTTTCCAGATGGAGGAACGTGGTTTGGATTTACGCTCGTTTGCTAGCGCTATGTCCCTTTCCTTTCTGCGAATCTCACGGACCAGTGCATGGAAAACATCATCAATGTAAAAACGGAAAGCAGCAGACGTTTCAAAGAAAGGGCAGTTAAATTCACGTGCTAGAGAACCGCCGTCTTCCTTGGAGACCTGAGCAATGACAAAGCGATCAAAACATAAGAGCACTAACTACATAGAACCAGCACTGGAAAAGGATAGTTTTTCCAGTTAACCTATACATGAAAAGAAAATATGTAAATAGGGTGAAAAACCAGTAAAAAATAAATAAATAAAAATAACTGCTTGTTTGCTACGGCTTTAAATAGATCTTATACACTTCAAACCAGCCTTGAATTCAAAAATAAAAACTAGCACCACACAACTATACGTACGCCAGTCCCACATCTAGTTAAATAAGTATCCAAAACCATTGCACACCAAAACAGCTATGTAAGGATATATTTAGAGAGTCTAAATGCGTATACTGTGTATGTACAGAGGCAAGGTTGTGTATGTACACATTCCCATGTGAAAGGGAATGCGTGCCTCCCAACTATAGGTTTATATGTATAACTCCATACAAAGGTCAGCATGTGCAAAGGAGAGTGCAGGTTTATATGCAATTACCTGCCAGAATATAAAATAACAATGGAACACAGAACATTGCAGATACACAACAGAACTATATCCTTACCTGCCGCAAATAAGATAGATCTGACTTGTTCCCGACCAGCACAACTGGCGTGTCATCAGTGCGCCGCACGCGATAGATCAGCTGTTTGAATTCCCGTGCCTCGTGGAAGCTGCGGCGGTCTGTGATGGAATAGCAGATGATAAAGCCTTCTCCGGCTCTCATGTACTGATCACGCATTGCTGTGAACTCAGCCTGAAAAATAAATAAATAAATAAATAAAACAAACACTTATGTTCAAAGCAAAAAGAAAGAAGTTCTGGTTGGGGAAAGGAAAGCAGTATGAGTATAAACATTACATGTTTGAGTAGATGAGAGTAAGATTTAGAGAAGGTTGGAAACCACAGCAAGACACAGAAGTAGTAACTAAGATACATTAATGTTTATTACATGCTCTCTTGCCCTTATTCGTGCCTTTTGCTTTCCACCCATTCTCATATACCTGGCCTGCTGTGTCCAGAATGTCCAAGTTGGCAGGTTCGTCGTCAATCCGTATACGTATCTTATAAGCATCCTCTGAAAGACATCAAGATTCAGGATTTAAAAGGAAGCAACAATGGAAATTTATATCCAAAGTGAGCAGTGCATTGCTTGCCTCAGAGACCAGCATTGCTGTACCTGCATATCAGAATATCCTCTCTTATTTTCAACTGTTGTCACCAATGGAGGCTTGCAACTCAGACACTAACTGACCAAATACTAACCCATGCCTAACAAAGCATTTTACTCACCTATAGTAGGATCGTGGTCTTCAGGGAATCTATGGCTTATGAATTGCATAGTCATGGCTAAAAATAAATAAAAAATATCCACATTAAAAGATCAGAATTACTCAGACATAAATAGAGAGCCCGACATGTCAAAATTAAGAGGGATTAAGTGAATAGTTTGCCTGTGGGAAAAATGTATGCCCCACATTGCCCTTCATGTATACTAAAAGAACATGAATATTTCTGAAACTGACCAGAGGAGTTGCAATTCAATGACACTAGAGAACTAGTACATCCTAAATTATTCCTTTATTTGTTCAAGAAGACTACAAGTTATATCAGAGAAGGGA